AGTCTAGTTCAGAGGGCACATATTTAGGAATTCACAATCCTCATCTTGGCCTGTTGCCATTTCTTCACTGGTGAGCATGAACAGGATATCCTGAGTGCTCAGCAGGGATCAGGGAAGGTCAAGGAGGGAGAGATACTTTCCCAACACATTCACATACTGAAGTGTCAGCACAGAACATCCTAGTAGGGAGGGAATGGGAGACATGAATAGCTTTTCATTCCCAGCCTGAGCACCTTCCTCTTGCACATTAGTCAGGGCATAGGGGTCAGTTGCTGCTGATTACCAAGTGTCTTGTAACAGTAAGGCTGCTCTTTGCCCAGCATTCTTCCAAATAGAAAGAGTGAAAGGGTCATAGATGAGGCTGGCCACCCTCCAACCCACTATGGGACCTAGGAAGAAGAGGTGGGCTGCTTAGAGGTTGGGATATGGCAAGTTCAAGTACAAAGGGAAGGTGATGAAGACAGAAGTTTTAGTATTGGCTGGTGAGAGGCCTGTTTCTAGGCCTGTCATTAAAGGACTGTTATAGGAAAATCCCTTAATTGCTATGAATCTTTTTCTTGGTGGGTAGTGCTGGAGTTTGAACTCAGGCCCTCATGTTCTGGCTCAGCTTTGTGTGTGTGTGTGTGTGTGTGTGTGTGTGTTGGTGGTGGGACCTCAACTCTGGGCCTGGGCGCTGTCCCTCAGATCTTCAACTCAAGGCTAGTGCTCTACCACTTGTCTGACTCAGCTTTTTTGCTCATAGCTGGTACTCTACCATTTTGAGTCATGCCTATAGTCTAGGTTTTTGAATTTTTTTGCCTGCGCTAGCTTCAAAGAATCTGTGATCTCAGTCTCCTGAGTAGTAGTAGCTAGTACGTCACGTGCCCAGCTTGGCATACAGTGCAAAGGCAGGATATGGTAAAGTTTGAGCCATGCCCCCAGTTCCTGGATCTCCAGTTTTCTAGTTCATAAAATAGTGTTCATAGTGTGGAGCGTACTCCTTTTACAAGATACATATAAAAATCATATTGGTGAGCTAAGAAGGTGGCTCAGTGGTAGAGTGCTTGCCTTGCATGCATGAGGCCCCGGGTTCGATTCCTCAGCACCACATAAGCAAAAAGAAAAAAAAGCCAGAAGTGGCGCTGTGGCTCAAGTGGTAGAGCGCTAGCCTTGAGCTGAAGAGCTGAGGGACAGCACAGTGCCCAGGCCCAGAGTTCAGGCCCCACGTCCAGACCCCCCCAAAAAAATAAAGTTAGTAACATCACATTTCCTAAACCGACCGATGAACCATTGCCTTATATAGGAGCTTATAAAGATGAAAATAGTTGGATTAACATAAAAGGAAAAAGAGTATTTTGGAACTCATTAGATTTTGTACAAAGATTAGGTAGATCTAGATCATTATGGTGTTTATTATTTAAACAACAAAAAGATAGTTTAAAATAACAATTAAAAATTTATGTGAACAAATATTGGGATTATAATCATAGGAAACAGAGAATGCCTGACTTAACCTGAAAGTGGTTTTTAGGATGGTTTCAAACGGACTTGAAAATAGATGGAAGGGGCTGGGAAGGTGGCTCAGTGGTAGAGCACTTGCCTTGCATGCTCAAGGCCCTGAGTTAGATTCCTCAGCACCACATAAGAAAAAAGCCGGAAGTGGCACTGTGGGTCAAGTGGTAGAGCGCTAGCCTTGAGCTGAAGAACTGAGGGACAGTGCCCAGGCCCAGAGTTCAGGCCCCACGACCAGACCCCCAAAAGAAGAAAATATATGGAAAAAATAAAAAGAGTACAATATAAGTACAGCCCTGTCTTAGGTTTAATTATTAAACATAAAAAGCCTGAATAGATGACGCATTCTATTAAACAATATGCTAGACTTGTTTTGCACCACTTAGCTTAAACAGTTGGTGGGATATTCATCAATTTTCATGTAATTCATCAATGCTTTGCTTTTCTTAAAAATTGCTTAAATAAACAAAGAATCTATGTCACAATCACACGTTGTATAAAAGTTAATTCTCCTCAGACTCTTTTGAGTCTGTGTCTGTTTGTCACTTCGCCGACTCCATGCCCACCTATCCCGAGACCCCTGTCCTGTCGGTTCCAGTGCTCCGGCCGAGCTGGTCCTTGGCACTCCCCCACTCCCACTTTCTCACCAAGAAACGATTCTGTGCTCACTGCCTTGAGAGGAAGGATGAGGCAAGTCCAACAGTAGTGATATCTGGGTTGCTTTCCTGATTTGTTGTTTGAAAGCTCCTGCCCATCACATCAGACTTACATACTTAAGATCAGGGACTCTAGGGAGCAAGAGGTAAAGAAGGTGGGAGAGAGTTGACAAACTTACAGAACTGACTCTCATGGTACTTAGAAATAGAAGACCCTGAAAAATATTTCTGGGATACTGAAGAGGAAGTGAATTGTCCTGTGTTCTAGGCAGATTCTTGGGATATTGGACTTCAAAGTGGATATCCTGGGAAAGAAGTGAGTGCTAGTTGCTCCCTGGACTAGCTCAGAGATTATAGCCATGCAAGTGTCTTACTAGGAAGGAAGACCTAGGGACAGGGACACCAGGGATCTTGGGTGGGAAGGAAGCCAGGAAAAAGACTGAGAGGTGACTGAAGAGGCTAGAAGGGGGAGAAATAGACAGTACTAGACAAGGCAACAGTTTGACAGCTGACAGGCAGAATCATTTGCTGCAGAAGGGCCAAGACGATGAGTCTCATGGACTTAGCAGGCAGAAGATGACCATGGAGAAAAGTTCTGGCAGACAGTGGCCATGTCCATCATTTTTATTTTTTGGGGTCCGGTTGTGGGGCCTGAACTCTGGGCCTGGGCGCTGTCCCTCAGTTCTTCAGCTCAAGGCTAATGCTCTACCACTTGAGCCACAGTGCCACTTCCGGCTTTTTTTTCTTTTTGCTTATGTGGTGCTGAGGAATCGAACCCAGGGCCTCATGCATGCAAGGCAAGCACTCTACCACTGAGCCACCTTCCAAGCCCATGTACATCATTTTTTTTGGGGGGGTCTGGTCGTGGGGCCTGAACTCTGGGCCTGGGCGCTGTCCCTCAGCTCTTCAATGCAAGGCTAGCGCTCTACCACATGAGCCACAGCACCACTTCCGGCTTTTTTTTCCTGCTTATGTGGTGCTGAGGAATTGAACCCAGGGCCTCAGGCATGCAAGGCAAGTGCTCTACCACTGAGCCACCTTCTCAGCCCCAATGTCCATCTTTTTTTTTGGGGTCCGGTCGTGGGGCCTGAACTCTGGGCCTGGGTGCTGTCCCTCAGCTCTTCAGCTCA